TGGCTATGTCACTGACTCTGGGCCTAGGAGTCCCCAGGTCTTGCCAGACTTCTGGCTCCACCTGGTTTCACAGGAGTCTGTTGAATGTTGTAGGGCTTAGCTCGCAGCTTCATTGCTGTTTTTCCCTCACTTCCCCTTATCGTGATGAACGTGTTCACCAATCAGAGCGTGTATTCTCATTGAGTTTGTCTTTGAAGGGGGTTTACTCTGAGGGGACCTGACCACTTGCCTTGATGTCTCCTGGGCGAGCAACTTGCTTGTTCTTGTAGTAATCATTCGGACTGTCATTATTGTTTTGTATTTTTCCTGTCGGTCTTTCTTTCAAGAAGTATCTTCTGTTCTTCTAGCTGCTCCAGGCTGGTCTGCCCATCCTTTCAAGTGGAAATTTCCTACCTCTGAAGATTCTGGATGCTGTTCAGGATTCCACCTATGGTCTTATACAATGCAGAGTCTCTGCCGGAAGCCTCCTTCCCTGAGCACGTTGTAGCCCCATTTTAGGCATTCCAATCAGTTATAGGCAGAAGACAGACTTAAAAGCTTTCTATGGTGATAGTTCTGGCTATTCTTTTCTCTCCCCCTCCAGTGTCTATTTTATAATGGTATGCAAGGGAAACCAAGATTCAAAAGACAGCCAAGCATCTTAATTCCCCATTCCAACCATGTCTCAATCCCTGTATCCCAGAGCCCTGTTGTTCCAAGGTTGTGCATACATTATTCTTTACCTGTCCCACTTAGCCCACAAACTTGCCTAATTGTTCTCCTATCTGCTTTGTTCTTCCATTCCCCTTCCCCTTATTGCATATTGCCCCCATCCCCAGCACCCAAACTATGCTGTGTCTATTGCCCTGTACTCCACCTTCCCCTCCCTCCCCTTATCCCACCCCCCACTTCCCAGAAATCAGCAAAGAATCCCCCCACCTTTTAGTATGGGTTTTTTTTTCTTAGTCTTTTACAGTAGTGGTCCTATACAGTATTTCTCCTTTTGTGACTGACTAATTTCACTCAACATAATGTTTGAAGGAAGTTTGGAGCACTGAAATCCAGAGTTTGCCTTTCCTTGACTCACCATCAGGGACATCGTCTATTGAAAGTGGTTTTTCCTTATCTCAAATTATTAGATAAATACATCCTGAAGAGTCACAGGAAGTGAGAGTCATAACATTGAGCAATAATGATTGATAATTGTATAGACCACTTCTATTCTGTCCTATAGGGTCTCTTTGAGTCTGAATCAACTTGATGGCAGTGGGTTTGGTTTATGAATACAAGATATACTTGTTATATTCCTGATAGATAACTAATACATGTATTTACAAGGAAGTTCTGTTAATATCACTATTATTCAAATTTATACACCAGCCACTAAAGCCAGTGATGATGAAACTGAAAAATTCTACCAACATCTTCAGTCTGAAATTAATCAAGCATGCAATCAATATGTATTGATAATTACTGGTGATTGGAATGCAAAGGTGGGAAACAAAGAGGAAGGATACGTAGTTGGCATTGGACATTGCAATGATATAATTTTACAAGATCAATGACTTATTAATTGCAAATACCTTTTTTTAAACAACATAAAGGACGACTATACACATAAACCTCACTAGATATAATACACAAAAATCAAATCAACTACATTTTTGGGAAAAGATTGTGGAAAAACCCAAGGTCATCTGTCAAAACAAGGCCAGGAGCCAACTGATGAACAGACAATCAATTGCTCATATGCAAGTACAGGCTGAAGCTGAAGGAAATTAAAACAAATCTACGAGAGCCAAAATATGACCTTGAACATGTCCCACCTGAATTTAGAGACCATCTCAAGAACAGATTTGATACATTAGTCACTAATGACTGAAAACCAGAAGAGTTGTGGAATGACATCAAGAACATCAAACAGAAAAAAAAAGGTCATTAAAAAGACAAAATACAAAGAAAAGACCAAAATGGATGCCAGAAGAGACCCTGAATCTTGCTCTGCAGTGTAGAGATGCTAAAATGAATGGAAGGATTGAGGAAGTAAATGAGGTGAACAGATGATCCCCAGGCAAGCTCCGACTCTCCCAGTGGTCTGAGTTACAAGGAGGTGAGTACTGCAGTTGCGATCCTCATTAAAGGAGGAAGGAGCTATCTGCACTAACTCCTAGCCAACCCTGGACTAAGCCTCATTAGGAGAAGCAACTGAATGGATGCAAGAGCAAAACAGAGGAGACTGGTGATAAGTGCTGGCTGGCAGGCTTGGTGCAGCCATCTTAAACTTTCACGGTGACTTTGGAGGCAAGAGGGCAGTGGGTGGCACAGAGGCATACTGCTTATTGGCGGAGAGAGGTGAAAAATTTTTCTTGTACCCCACATTACTCTGGTGACCAGTGGTGAGCCCAGCCCCCACTTTCAAACACTTTCAGAGTGACAGCTCTTCACCAGTCATTTTTGATGGCCCTCCAAG